ACAACAAGTCAATATATCAACAATTGTTTGAGAAATACAAATACTAAATATGTCTCCAAAAAAATTCAAAATTCACAATAACTATTACTATTACACAACAATGATGGAGAACAACAACAAAAAAAATTCACATTTCGCTTCTTTTTGGATTTTTCTAGATCAACAACAACAACAAATTAAGGTTTTTTTCGGATGTCTTTCTTTTTCAAGCATCAAATTCTAAAATTGCTAGCGTATACATAAATGAAAGACAACTCAAGCTCATCTTTTTCTTTAATATTAAAAAGCCCTAATTTTTTCAAAAATAAAAGTTTTTACCTGAGAAGAGAGAAAATTGATGCTTAGAATCGAAGAAGTTGCCGAAAATTGAAAAGTTGCCGGAAGTCGATTGGGAGCAATGACAAAGCAGATTTAAGGAAGAGAAGAGACGTTTGAGGATTTGAGTCGGAATAGAGGAAGAACGATGAAGAAGAGAAGTTGAAGAAAGTGAAACCCAAGAAAGAGGAGAGAATTTTTGATTGTTTTGTATTTTAAAATTTGGACTGTTTTGTATTTTTAAAAAGATTAGAATTTTTGAAAATGTTAATTCAGTCCTAATTAACTTAATCTAATAATTTAATGTCTTTGACTTGTTTTTGGTCAAAATAGTCACCAAAATTTAAATAAGGACTTAAAAGACACCTTTTGTTCAATTTTCTCGTGAAAAGGATGGACATTTCTAAAGATAGTAAACCAAAGAGGCAACTGAAGCATCAGATAGCTTCAATGTTGGTGTTCATGGTCGGAGCTTCCTCTTCATCGATGATACCAGATCCACCGTTGAATATCTCACTACCGATTTAAATTTTTCATCCAAGAGTTCTATCAGGTGACTTTGGCATCTCAAATTGGTTCTTCTTTCTTAGATCTATCATTCAATGGATTGAATCCCAACACTGAGATTGATACCACCATCAAATTTTAGATCCTTAAAAGATAAATTAACTTTTTTGAGGTTTCTTGCAGAATAGGAATTACTTGTGTCATTTGCAAGTATCATGTACAACTACTCTAACCGTTTGCCGATGAATCAAGCCTTTCTCTTTCAGTTCTATAATGGATTGAACCCGACTAGGTTAATACCACCATCTAAGTCAAGACTATTGACATTCTGTGTTGTTGTATGATTTAAGTTACATGTGTATGAATACTCAACTGCTGTAGTAGAAAAATACTACTCTAAATCTTTGAGTCCTAGTTTCATACCATTCGCAACACCTCAAAGCTCTCACCAGGTGCATTGTACTTTAACCAATCGAAAAATATTTCAGACATCAAAGATTGAATTGATAGAATATTTCTATGTACTTCACTTTTGCATTCATACTACTTATTGACACTGTCAACTCTAATTAATTTGAAAATACAATGGAACCTGTCTTTTGAATTCTCATGTATGGTGTTTTGTACTTGTCAAGGTTGATTATCTCTTTTCCTGAACTTGGAACTTCCTGAAAAGATTTATATTCATAATTACCTGCAAAATGAAAAAACAAGTTAGCAAAAAAGTCTGCCAGAGTATTTCCCTCCCTTAAGGTGTGTTGTACTCTTACTGATAGCACCTCTCTTAGCCTGTTAATGGAGTTGACCACCATTGTCACACTCCAAAGAATCTCCCAAACACCATTAAGAATCTGGACCATTGCCAAGGAATCAGATTCAAGAATGATGCTTAAATAATTATTCTCCCAACAGTATTACAATCCTTCCTTAATGGTCATTGCCTCAGCTACCAAACTTGTAAACTCTGTTAATTTCACACTAGCACAAACTAAATCACCTTCATAATTTCTAACACAGAATGCAGCAACACTAGGCCCTGGATTACCTTTACAAGCCCCATCTGTATTTACATTTCCACCAACCACAAGGTGGGGGAAACCATTTAACCAGTTTAAACTGGAAACTTGGTCTGTACCCATCAAGGAGAGCTACCATCTGAGGACAAAAGTTAGGAATTGTTGTATAATCAAACTTCACTTTAATGAGATTATGAATAGTATAATTGATGTCTTCAATAACTTTGGCTCTAGGATAAGATCCTTCATGCAACATTGTGTTCCTTCTTTTCCATAAAAACCATAGAATAATATTGGGAATGGCTTGAAAGACAAGTTTTTGTCTTGCATTTCCCTATGCATTCCACCACTTTGTCATAGTTTGTTTCACCTGAATCCTTGGACCAATGATACCAACTGCATTTGAAAAATAATCCCAAACACTAATAGCCATTTCTCCTTTCAGAAACAAATGTTCAATGGTTTCTCTAACTCGTACAACACAACAAGAACAAAACTGAGAAGTGTTGGGATTCCAGCGAGCCATGACTGTAGCAACTGGAACCTTGTTGGTCCAGACTCTCCATCCAAAATAGAGATCTTGTAAGGTAAGACTTTCACCCAAATATTTTTGAAGAAGTTAGAAACTTCATCTTTCTTTCTCACAATCTCCCAAGCACTCTTCACAATAAACAGTCCAAAACTTGTCTTAGTCCACCAAGGTTTATCCCCCATATCAGATTACCTAAAGTGATTCATTTATTGTCTAACATGGCCAACTTTGTGATCAGGCAAATGATTATGCATATAATCATAATCCCAACCTGTTTCTCTCATGAACACATTAATCTCAGTTAAATCATGATATGTCTGAATTTCTATGTACTGTGTATACAATGGACCAAGCATTGTTCAATTGTCATACCAAATAGTAGAGGTTCCTCCCTTAGGTTCCCACTATAGGTGTTGTTCAATACATTCCCTATTTTGTAACATTTGCTTCCACAATTGAGATCCCCCTCTCCATTGAACAAGTAATGGAATTTGTTTAGGGTCTGTTTGGAAAGCCACCAGGTAATTGGAATTGGTGTAATTACTAGGATAGTAATTACCAGCCTAGTAATTACACAGTCTAGTAATTACACTGATCTGTTTGGTTGCCATAGTGTAATTACACATATCATGTTTGGATGCCACAGTGTAATTACATATGTTCTGTTTGGATGCACAATTGCAATCATAAAATTATAATAAATTTTAAAAATAAAAATTAATCATTTAAAATTTATACTAGACAAATAAGAAATTTGATAAATGACATTAAATTAAATATTTAAGATATATATTATTTTTGAAAATATATTAATTAATAAACATATTTACTGTAACTAATATTATGAAAAAATAATTGATTTATATTTTTCAAATTAATATATTTCAATTGAATTGATCGTAAACAACTAAAAGTATGAAGTTTATACGAACATTGTGAAATGCATGTTTGATAAAAAGAATAGTAATATATAAAGGGAAAAGGGTCTGATATACCCTTCAACTTTGCCATTTGGAGCTCATATACCCCTAGTTATGAAAGTGGCTCATATATACCCTTACTGTTATACAAACGGCTCACATATACCCATACCGTTACAAAATGAGTTCACATATACCCTTAATTTAACAGAAGTGAAAAAAATAGTATTAAATTTATGTTTTTGACTTTTAAATTTAAAAAAATCATGTAGAGGTATATATGATCCTTCTATTGAATTTCAAGGTATATTTTAATCTTATTTATACATAAATTATTTTTTGACGTCTTTGATTATCAGTTTTTGAGTTTCTTATTCTTATTTTATTTTTTTCTTTGTTCGTTAGTGTAAAGAGAAAATCTTAAAACTAATTTTTTTGTGGCTATATTATAATTTAAAACTATTTTTTTTTTACTATATTGTTATTTAGTTTTTGTATTGAAAAAAAATTGGGTCATCTATAATAAAGTTTACAAGAAAATTAGTGAAACATAAATAAATTGGACCATCAAAATAATAACTTTAAATTAGTCGTTGAAACAAAAAAAGTCAAAAAAAAATTATGTGTGAGGAAGATTAAATATTCCCATATGGGATTATAATTTTTTTAAAATAATAATAATTAAAATATTAAATTAAAATTAATTTTTTCTACTTCCGTTAAGGAAAAGGGTATATGTGAGCCATTTGTATAGCAATAGGGGCATATATGAGCCACTTTCATATTGATGGGTATATCAGCTCTAATTGATAAAGTTGAGGGGTATATCAGGCCCTTTTTCCATATATAAATAAAACATCATAAATTATTAAATGTTTGACAAAAATATAATCTATCAAGTCTAATTAAAAAAATGACGTGCAATGTAAATTCAATATTACTAAAACAAATGAAACTGGAAATATGACATAAGTAATAAATTCAAAACAAAACATTTAACATAATACTCTTATAACAAATTTCAACATAGCAATAAATATGATTTATTTTTATTTCTTCATAATAAAGAAAACGTAAGTCTATAACCTTACTTAACAATAAATTATATTTTAATTTTAAAATTAGAATACTAATAAAATTATGCTAATGAGAAAATAAACATGGCATAAAGAAATAGATAATACGAGAAAATTACATAGAATCACATAAAGTAAGGTTGAGAACAAGAATAAAATGAAATATAATAATATAAAAATAAAAAATAGACTTTTACAAATATTTAGAATAATAAAAAGAAAAATAAAAAGAAATTAAAATAATAGAAGTAAAAAAAATTAAAAACAAACAAAATAAAAATGAAAAAATAATCAAGTGGTAATTACACCATGTAATTACCAGCAATTCACAGCCTCTGCCTGTGAATTGTAGAGTGTAATTACCCCCTGCCAATTACACCAATTACATGCTGACCAATTAATTACCTGTCCTGCCAAACAGGACAAGACAGTGTAATTACACCAATTACACCAAATCCAATTACTAGGGGTCCTTCCAAACAGGACATTAATTTCTTGCAATATTTGTTCCACATGAAATTAGACCATAAAGAGTTTTGAGTTCTAAATTTCCACCCAAGTTTTGCAAACATAGCTTGTGAAACATCAAACATGGATCTAAAAACCCAACCCACCTTCCTCTTTTGGTAGACAAATCTTCTCCCAAGAAGCCCAATGTTTACTCCTACCAATGGCTTTGTTACTCCAGAAGAATTTGGCAAAAATCCTATAAAGCTCTTTTATAACACAATTAGGAAGAACTATAGTTGATAGCATATGAATGAGAATACTTTGTAAAAACACTAGTGATTAATACCTATTTCCCTCCAAAAGATAGCATATTTCCTTTCCAAGCCTGAATCTTAGCCTTCACCCTCTTGTAGGGGTGTGCATCGGTCGGTTCGATTCGGTTTTACATATTATCAGTTCGTTTTATCGGTTTTCGGTTTTAAAATATCCTAACCCAATAACAAACCAATAAGAATTTTTTTATCGGTTTTCGGTTTATCGATTTTTGATCGTTATCGGTTCGGTTTTCGGTTTACCCAATAAGAAAATATCCATAAAATAATATATAATAGTACATAGGCTACAATTACATGTTACCGCCAAAACATAATACGAAACTTCGGATGTTAATCAAATTACTAACATTCACAAACTTGCAAAAACTACAGCCTACAATTACGAACTAAAACTAATACTAAAATAAAATAGTTCAACGAGACAATCTTGAACAGTTGCTTGATCCACCAGATAATCAACAAAATTCTCACCAAGTTCCTAACCAAGACAATCACAAAGCCTGAAAAAGAAAAAGCCAACCACCAATTTAATTACCTGATCTATACATCATCATAGAGATTTGTTCATTCATTATAGTAGAATTTAATAGACTATTACAGTAGCATTTTTACATTTAATGACAAAATGCAAATGACATAAATGGTCCCTAAACTATCCTAGTAGGTCTAAAATAGTCCTTTAACTATACAGTTGACGGATATGATCCTTTAACTATCCACCTTTTGTCAAGTTTGGTTTCCATCCAATTGCGGCACCAGAACACCCAAAAAAATCCAGCAAAAAACTGCATAATCAGCACCAAACTATACATAACACATCACTAGACAACAACATCAAACTGCTGCATCAGACTACCAAAAATCAGCACCAAACTGACACAAAAACAGACTCCCAAAACGTGTCACCAAACTGCTGCACATACAGCTCCAAAAACGTCACCAAACTGCTGCACAAACAGCAGCACCAACCACAAAAAATCAGCACCAAACTGCACAAAACACAGCTCCAAAAATGTTACCAAACATATTTCATGAAATAGGCTCCATAAATTAATAACATTCATCCTCAAATGAACACGGTAAGATGCAGATTATCGGGCACAATCACTAAATTAACAATTCCATTTTTATTAGCGACTAATCCATTTATAGTATCATCATGTCCCTTAATTGACTCCAAACACTTCTAATTAGTAAATATGTATTGAGCAAGTTAAGCTTAACAATATGCAATATTTGGCCTCATATATTTTCTTGACAGAAAGCTTATACATTGAAAACCAAGTAAATACATGACTTAGAGCAACTTGTAGCTAGAATGGCTTACCAAATGTCCAGATCCAAGTGCAAAAAAGAAAGAGTTTCAACTTCACATTAATCATCCAGAATGCTAGTATTAGCCAAATCTATAGAGAATTTATGTTAATCAACCAAAAAAATGTTAATGACTATTTACAATAACAATTAAAACTATTCTAATTAAAATATCCTTACCTTGTTCGAGCTGTTCGAGGACATCTATATCTTCCTCAACACTTATAGGTCGTGATTCACTTCTAATCCAATCTTGAAGGCACACTAGAGTTTGCACCAATTTAGGAGTTAATGAACTCCTAAATGAATCCAAGATACGTCTACCAGTACTAAACGCACACTCGGATGCCACACTTGAAACAGGAATAGCTAACACATCCCGAGCCATCTCAGCAAGAATGGGAAATCTAGGTGAGTTTATTTTCCACCAAGACAAGATGTTGAAGTTCTTGCTTTCAACTTCATTTTCTTCAGCAAGATATTTTTGCAATTCTGTTTTGACAGTTGTTGTATTTTCAGCTTTATGTTTCATTAGATCACCCATCCTTCTTTCCCAAACATCATTTGAAGTGCAAAGCCAACTGAAACAAACTTGTGACGAGGATCCAAAACGCAAGAAATAAAAATCATCTTGTTCATCTTCTTTGGAGTACCCCAATACTTATCAAATTTTTCTCTCATATTCGAAGCAATTTTACCCAAAAGATCATCATTATCTTCTTCACTCGATATCAATTGTTTTAAATAACAAGAAACCTCACAAATTTTAAGAAAATGTGAGTTTGCTGTGACGTAGTGTGATCCAGATACTTCTCTGGTAAGATCATAAAAAGTTTGAAGAAAATTAGCAATTTTTCTTACATTGTCCAAGTCATCACTCAAAAGGGCACCAACAACGCCATGTTCATCCTTTCCATCTTCATCCTCAACAAACTGAAGGTAATGTAACAAGCCAATATCACGAGCAGCATAACTGGAAAAAACATTTTCAAACTCGATAGCCCTATTTAACATCAAGTATGTGAAGTTCCATCTCGTAGAGACATCCAAACATAAAGATTTTTTACAATTAATATCAACATCTTCACAACATTCTTGGAACCTCTTACACCTCGCAGGAGACAACCTTATGTATTTAACTGCTTTTCTAACCCGTTCAATAGACACAGCAGACACCTTCAAACCATCTTGAACAACAAGATTTAGAATATGCGCCATACACCTCACATGAAGGTGTTCTCCATTCATGAAATTGATCCCCCATTTAGTGAATATCTTAGACAACTCTTTCACAGTCACGTCATTTGAACTAGCATTATCAACTGTGATGGTAAATATTTTATCTAAGCCCCAATCACGCAAACACTTCATAATTTCATTAGCCATATCTTCACCTTTATGGCTGGAAATTGGACAGAAGTTGATTATCCTCTTATGCATAATCCATTCATTATCGATCCAATGTGCAGTGATACACATATAATTAATCCGTTGCAAAGAGGTCCAAGTATCAGTTGTCAGACATACTCAAATAGGTCCAAATTACTCATACGTTAACATCTTTTCAACTTTTGCTTCTCTTCATCAAAAAGTTTAAAACAATCACGTGTCACAGTGGTACGAGAAGGAATCTTAAAACGAGGTTGCGCTACTTTCATAAAGTTTCTAAAACCTTCCTTCTCGACAAACTTGAAAGGTAGTTCATCCACAATTACCATGCGGCATAAAGCTCTTCTACATTGTTCTTGCTCAAATTTCCAGGAAACAACAACCACATCACTTGTATTCCCTCCCTGAACAGATTGAAAGCCTATTTGAGTTTGACTTTTATCAAGACTTTTAGGCATCTTTGTACATGTTAACGTATGAGTAAGCATTGCCTTTGTACCATTTTTAACTGAATCAGCAAAATAATCTTGACCGCAATGCTTACACTTTGATTTCTTATTTCCTTCTTCATCAACAAATAATCCAAAATGATTCCATGCTCGAGATCTTTTCTTTCTTTCTTTTGTAACCTTTGGTTGAACATATTGTGTTTGATGCATAGCATTTGAATTAATACTTTCATCACATAGGACCACCACCTCATCAGTTGAAATATTTTCAGTCATATGTATGTCTCTGTAAAATATGATTTAGACAATAATGATTAATGACTAATCAAGCAACAATAATGAAATAATTTCAAGGTAAACTAAAGAGAAACTAAAGAGATATCTTAAATGAGGTCTTCAACATTACTGAAAAGGAAAAAGAATTCTTAAGAAAAATAATCAAATGCTTACCAAATTTAACCTACATTAGCATAAGAAGGAGACAAGAAAGGAGATGAAAAGCTTGAAGAAGAGGGATTTTGAATCAAGTAAAAGGAAATTTGAGGAAATGTGTGCAGAGCAAAAGGAAGCCAAGAGAAGGATGGTAATGTTGGAATAGGAGAAGATTTTGAGTATTAATAGTAGTACTATATCATTAATTCATTTGACGAGTTTTAGTTAGTACGTACTCCCCTTTTGTGTATTCAAAATCATTGATATATATAATAGTAGATTTATAATTTCACAAATATTGTTGGGTCTCATGCTCTGTTATTCACTACTTGCTCTAGGTTACTAATTAAAACTGGATCTTGTTACTCTTGCTTCTTATCAATTTACTGTTAAGAGGTAATATTGCTCAATTTGCAAAGTGTACTACTAATGGAACTTGGAAAACTACATACTGTATTGTTCAAAGAAAGAGATGTACTTTTTACACTACTTGAATAAAAGATGGATTCAGAACCTCAATATTTCTATTTTATTGCTAAAATAGGTCAAAAAGTAACAACCAGCAGGGTGTCAACCTTGTTTATCAGAAAAGGCATAGATTACAGAAGAATAAAATTATACAAGGACAGTTATTAGAGAAGAAGAGATTAGAAAAGGGTAGAAAATCCTCACCGTCGCCTAGCCCTTACTATCGTCGTTGTTGCGAACCCTCCTTGGAAACTTGTTGGTTGTTGCCGGCTTGCCGCCGCCGTTGGCTCGTTCCTAACCCTAATTTTACTCTAAGCGCCAAGCGGTAAGTACTAACTCCTACTGAAAATCTAATATAGAATCTACTTATGTATTAAATTATTTATATTTAATATTTAGGAAGGGTAAAGTAGTAAATAACTATCACCTTATTGGGTTATCGATTTACCCAATAACCCAATAGGAAAAACCGAAACCGAACCAATAACCCAATAACTTTTTTTTATAAACCCATTAAAAACCCAATAACCCAATAACAATAACCCAATAACATTTTATCGGTTCGGTTTATTGGTCGATTCGGTTTTTGCACACCCCTACCCTCTTGATCAGTTCGACATAGTGTTCCTTTCTTTTACTAGCATGAGTGATAGGGAAATCTAGATATTTCAAAGGAAACTGACCTCTGGAAATGCATGTACATTCGTCCACTAATTGCCTCACATCAGCTGCTACATTTTGATGAATATAAAGGCTTTTTTGTCCTTGTTGACCTTCTGGACTGATTGAGTCTCATAATCCTGCAAAATTGACACTATTATCTTCAAAGAATACTTATTAGTAGAAGCAAAGATGATAGAGTCATATGCATATGCAAGGTGGTTCAAATTAGCACTCCACTTAGGTAAACCATACCCTACATAATGGGAATCCTCAAATAAAGAGTTTAGGTCCCTGGTTAATACTTCTACAGAAAGAATAAATAAAGAAGGGGAAAAAGGATCTCCTTGCTACAGTCCTCTAGTAGAGTGAAAGAAACCATGTGATTGACCATTGATCAAGACAGAGTACCAATTATTAGATAATAACCTCCAAATTATATCAACAAAGACCACAGAAAATCCCATCTTCCTTAACAATTTCATTAGGAAGAACTATGATACTCTGTCATAAGCCTTGGCCATGTCAAGCTTAATGACCACATTGACAGGTTTACCTCTCTTTCTAATATCAGTAACAATTTATTTTCAATAATGCTTCTGCCTTTAACAAAACCTGATTGATTATAAGAGATCAATTTGGGAAGAAGTGCTTCAACTCTGTCATGTACAATCCTGGAGAATATCTTATTAATAAAATTGCTCAAACTAATTGGTCTCAAATCAGCAAAAGAATGCACCTGGTCCTTCTTAGGTAGGAGAACCAAGTTAGTGTGAGCAATGGACTTAGCGAGGGTATTAAAGAAATCCTGAACCATTCGGAGAATATCATTCCCAACAATATCCTAGCAACTTTGATAAATCTTCTCGTCACTCCATATGGTCCACTAGCACTGTCTCCGTTTAAATTTAAAACAACTTTTCTAAATTCATATAATTCTGGAAGTTTACAAAGTTCTGAATTTTCTTCATATGTAATAAGTTCAGGAATGTGCCTCAGTAGTGAAAAGGAAGAAGCGTCTCTTTCTTGAGTAAACTGGTTGTGATAAAATTCTACAGCTTCTACTGCTATTTCTGCTTCCTTTCTCCAACCAATTGCCCAGACTGTTTTGGATTTTATTCATCTGGAGTTTTTTCCTTCTACCCTTAACAATATTGTGAAAAAAATCTCGTATTTTTGTCTCCATTTTCAAACTAGTCATAACCTGCCTTTTGTTGCCAAAAAATCTCTTCAAAATGGAGGTATTTTTTAAGCTCATCCTGAGCTCTTTGCAAGACTTCTCTATTTTCAGGATTGGGGATCTCTTCAAAGAGTTTCTCCTTGATTCGAACAATGTCTTCTCTAATGATCAATTGCTTAAACATGTCACCATATGCATCTCTGCTCCATTTTCTCAAAGCTGATTTCACCCTTTTAATATTTTCCTTGAAATCTAAATAAGGATTCTGAGAGGGATTGGTAGACCAATTTTGTCTAACCACATCTTTAAAGGACTCATTCTCAATCCAAAATTTGAGAAACCTAAAAGGTTTCTTATGTCTGGTAATGGTTTCTTCACAAGATAAAAACAAGGGTGCATGATCAGATTCAGTTCTTGGTAAATGCTCTACCTCAACATGATTAAACCAATCCATTCCACCAAGTGAAAAAACTTCCTTTAAACTGGACCTCTATTAATTCACAAGTTGATATGTAACATTCAAACTCTTCATGACAACATTTACCATGGGTAAACCTCCTATTTTAACCACATTAAAATCACCCCCAACTATCCATGGGCTATTCATCCCTGCAGCCACTTGATAGATATCCTCCCAAAGATTTACTCTTTGATCAGCTCTGCATTTGGCATACATTAGCGTGACATAATAATTGAGAGCCTAGCTATGATGTTTTAGGAGAATTGTTAGTTGTTGCTCTGTATCTTTCACCACTGTACAATCAATATCATGGTTTGCAAAATACCATATTTTGCCATTAGAATTAGCAATCGAAAAAGGCATCCTCAGTTTTCTTCTATATCTGTTAATATGTCTAGAATTCTAAAAAGGTTCCAACAATCCAATAAATGAAAATTTATGATAATTGGGTAACATTTGTACTCTTTGAAAAGCTTGTTGAGACTTCACTGATCTAATATTCCATATAAAAGCCTTCATATTTACTAGATACTGATTTGGACCTCTTTGGTTGAATTCTGATGGGTTGACTATTTTCTCTGTTACCTTGCTTCTTTTCTTTTCTAGCAGTTTTCTTCAATCCAGGAGACAATCTACTTCACTTGAGACATTATCCAGTACATCCTCAAACACCTCTGCCTCTTTTATAGCCTTGGCTATTTGAACTGGGCCTATTGTTTCATAACACTTATTTTCTCCTATGTTATGAGAGATAATGTCATGTAACACTTTGTTAGGGGACTCCATTTGCACTAGAAGTTGTGATTCATCTGTATGCACTGCCATAGGGACCTCCACTATTGCCATGCTATCATCTACTACTTCTTTGTGCTGATGTGATATTTCTACTTCTGAGTTTGTAATGACTTCCTTAGAGTTGTTAGTATCTGAGCATTCTGTGAGAGCAATTTGCTGCCCTCCTTTATTAATTTTTCCATCTGTGGTTTTTGTGACACTTGCAGTTGATTCTACTTGTCTCTCATCCTTATCTCGATCTACATCTTTAATATCTCCATTATCATGCCCCTGAGATGTGTTTTGGTATATACGTTCTGCAAGAAGACCACCTACTAGAGCCTTGGGATCAACTCTTTGAGATTTGTTGAAGGTTTTTGTGACCCACTCCTTGGCAGAAACACCATATTGACAGCTTTCTTTATCACTTGTGATGCCATGTTGCTTATTATTATTCATTTCCTGCTTATCATTAACCATTGTGTTTGGATTGTTGTTGTCATTTCTATTGTTTTATGTTGGCTGTATGATTATCTTTTGGGATTCTTCACTTAGAATTTCAAAACTATTTTGT